CTTGGGGAAGGGTTCTCCTAAGAAGCATGGACATGGACACGAGATACGACGACACATCAACTTTTAAAAATGTAGGATAGGGACATGTCGGGGGCATGTTCTTTTTTTAAGATAACATATGCATATGTATTGGCGACATAGTATGCTTCTAGATCAATTAACTACACAAATTGAATAAAACAAAATCAAATGTGCTCAATAGTACAAAATTTGAAGAACAGCCGTCATTGAAGCCATGGGAGGCGAAGCACTGAGCGGCAGGGGACTTTTATTCTTTGCAAGACAAATTAGGGCTGGGTTTTATTTAAAAAATTACACTTTCTTCTTTTAAAAAAAGAAATTAGGATAGGAGGCTTACTTTTAACATGGGTTTGGCTGGGCTTTCATTTTTTTTAAATAGCCTACATTTTCTTTGAGTTTCTTAGATAGGCGTGTCGACGGTGTGTCAGAGCCATGTCCAATAATAAAAATAAGACATGCTTTTCGCGTGTCAGAAAACGTGTAACATGAACATACCTCCTAGGGTCCCACGCCACCTATTCAAGTAGAAAAGAAACCCTCACCTTGCAAGTTGACTTGACGAAAGTTCAAGAGCAAGAAGTGTAGCCAATGCACCACCCAAACTGTGACCTGTAACATAAACATGCCATTTGACTGGTGGCTCACCACAATCATCTCTGCAAGAAACGGAAAGATAGTCAGAGAATGCAGAAAAGAGTTTCAAGTTGATAAGACATCTTGATTTGTGAATATATCATAGAAACAATCGATTGTGTTTTTCCAAGAGAATCTCAAGTAAAGCTGAAAAATAGAAGTTAACAAATTTAAAGTAGGTAAATAAATATATTTTTTTGGCCTTCGAAGAATCAAGTTTCCCGAGACTGGAGTGTCACTATGAAATGATGTATTGAGCTTACAGCCATCGTGTCAAAATCCAAAACTCTTAAGTGTAATTCCAACATCACCCCATGTACCCAGATCACAACACTTAGTTCCGGTCACATATCATATTCCTTCTACATGTAACGAATCAAATACAAGGTCTGTCTTTTTAAAGACCTCTAGTTGTAGGTTCTGTTGTTGAAAGATAAGAGATGTTGTGCTTGCATCAATCTTCTCCCTATAAAATGTTTGTCCTATGATGAACAACTGAATGATAAGTTATAGCAATTGCAGCCTTATTATGGCAATAAACTCATATATGTGTATTTTGGAAAAAGCTTCAACAGTTCTATTATCCTTTTAATTCATATACAATAAAAAGTTCTATGGGCTAAAACTCTCGGGGATTTTAGAATAATTGATTTTAGAAAAAGAGATTTAATGATAATTAATTTTGTGAAAGATTAAAGTGATTTTTATATAATTATTTTAACGTTTGTACACACTTTTTCAAGTGATTTTATATAATTAAAAATAATTTTGAATGATTAATACTTAAAGTTTAAAGAGAGAATTAGCCAAGATATTTAGTGAGAGAAATGTTAGAGATGTAGAGACTAAGGTTGGAGAGAATCCAATGTTCTCTTCTCATTATTAAAGTCTATATATATAGACAAATATACAAGGTTGACCTAATCCTATAAGGAGAAGGTAAAGGACAAATTAATATTAATATAAGAATATAAAATATACTAATATCTATACTCTAACA